TTATTTTTATTTTTTTTGCCTGACACAGGGAAAAAAAGAACTTATGATTGATAGTTTTGATGATTATGCAAGATAGATTATAGAAAGAATAGATCTATGTTGTAACTATAAAGGTAAATTTATAATTGTACTTAAAACTGCTGGAAAGAAGATGGGAAGCCACATCTCTGTATCTTTATTCTTTCTTTTCTATTTTCCCTTTTTTTGCTCTTTTTGCTTTCTCTTTGATCTTTTTCTTTTTCTGCATTAGTTTTTAATCTATTTTTAAAAATTATATATATGTGTGTGTGTGTGTGTATGCATATGTACATTTGTATACTGTATATGATTGGTTGGATAAACTCAGATTTATGTTCTATCAATATCTAACTTATGCTTGATTGTACAATAGAATACAGTCCTCTACAATTCACCCTGGAATTCCTTTGGGAAGAATTGTTCCAATAGCCAATGGCTGGTTTGCAACGACGTGCCTTTTGGCAGTTATTCTGGCTGTCGCTTTGCTGATAACATTATGCTCTTCCTGGTTGAAATGTTGATCAGCTCTTGCCTTGTGGTTTCATACTTTGAGTTTATGCTGCTGTAAGCTGCCTTGGGAGATGAGGTATAAATCATTATTTCTAAGGGTAGCTTTAAAAAGAGAGTTGGTTCAAAGCTTTGAAACACAACATACTGAGATGATATCTTCAGAATACAGTGCATGTCTGAATGCCATCCCTCTTGGAAATGCACTGTGGCACATTAGAAGAGACTCAAATTTTCCCCCTTTTGACAAGCAAGATTTTTCTTTATATAATTGTGTGAAGAGCATTTAAACAGGGGACACATCTGTATGTATAAAAAACATTTAATACAGGTAGCGAATTAGAGTACCATCAAGAATCACAGACTAAACCATCTAGTTCTTGCATTATGCAAAGATTTCCACAACCTTCGATCTTATTTCTTTCCCTTTTGAAAAGAACTATAAAAAGGGAACAATAATTTTAGAAAAATCAAGTATACCTGGCAACTAGCAACATTTATTTCAAGACTGTTTGGGTCCAAGAATATTTTTCTGGAATCTTTAAAAGATGAAATGTATGAAGTTGAAAATGAGATGCAGCATCATATAATCAAATAAACTGGGTAAAAGTAAAAACTTCCTCCCACTCACTGAGTCTGAATATATACATATATACATATATATGTCACACTAAGGAGGGATATAGCTTTTTAAACATCTCTATTCAATATTTCTTTTCCAAAAGGAATTTGTGTAGATGGAAGAAATGTATGAGGTATTATTTTGCTGACTGAACCAAAATGGGAGATCAAATTTGAATAAAACACTATTTATTTAAAGAATGCTTCAAGGTTGTTTGCTGCTTGATTCTTTAGCTATTGTTATTTCCCACGTTTTTAAATACCATGGATTCAAACAAAAATATACTTTGGCTTTCCGTGTTTTGTATTCTAACAGCTAAGAACACAGAAACAAATTGAGATCCATCTCTCCCTCTCCCTCTCTTTCTCTCTCTCTCTCTCTCTGTATGAAATTATCATGCTGAAGATATAATAGTAGTAACTGTAAACTGTGAAGCTGCAGGTTGGCATGATTGATTGCACATATTCTGGGAATTCCGGCAATGAAATCTTGGATTATATAACTGCATGGTGAATTTTTTTTCTTAATTAGCTTGACCTGATCTTGTCTGTAGCAAAAAGTGATGTGAATGGGCTTGTTAGATGGTGACTGTCCCTTTAAAATGCTCACATTGCTGCTGCTGGCTTTTGCTTAGCTTGAATTTCCATCATCTGGAATTATAATTGGTTACTAATTATTAGTCGGAGGGCCAAATGTTAAATAAAAATAGGGAGTTTTTTTTTTTCTCTTCTAAGACTTCTAAATTGAATTGCATGGGTATATTCTTGGGCTGGTCGCAGCTATTCTAGTATGGGGGAGAGAGACATGAACTGAAGTGTTAAAACTTTTGAGCTTTGTGGGAATCTTCCTTTTCGTTCAGCTGGGTCAGCCCATGTTTAAACATTCACGAAGTGCATGTTTTCTTCCTCCTGATTGTTAAAAATTAAAATTCTGATCATATGCAATTTCATATTGTAGACATGAACTATAATGACTTCAAGAATACAACAGTTATTCTCATTATAAACAATGATTAGGGAGAAGCTCCTTGGTGCTCTCTGACCTTGCTTGTTTTCTTGCAGACATTTCATTAACCAAACTAGGTAACATCATCAGTGAGCACTGATGATGTTAGCTAGTTAGGGTAATGAAACCTCTGCAAGAAAACAGGCAAGCTCAGAGAACACCAAGGACCCCACATTTCAACCCTGAGCTATAAACATTCTCCTTTATTGGAATGAGCTCCATTTTGGTTTAGAAAAGGAGATAATATATTTACAGGTAATGTAAAAATGAACACAATCAGATAACTGGAAGTACACAGCTGCCCTTTCATCTATACCTGCTAACAGGTCATTCAAGGGGCAATAAAGACATGCACGTTGGTGTCTAAATGTAGCCACAGCTTTACTATTGAAGAAGAAAAGAGGCATCATCAGCTTCTGCAGCTGTCAATGGAATAATCTATGCCAAAAACTTCATGACCATGACTTCTGGTTGCCTCAATGGAAGCCTTTGTGACAAATGTTGCGTATATGTATAGTAGTTGTTCCTTTTTTATAGTTCTTTTGGAAATAAAGGAGTTAGAAGTAATGGAAAATAAAACTTAGCAAACTTAGCACTAACTAAAGTGAAAGATAATGATAATGATTCAGAGGTAATTTTTTTGTGCAAGGTAGCATTCTATAAAAAAAAACAAGGCAAATACTTCATAATCATAGTACTTTGTTGGGGACCATCTCAATGAAAAATGCTGACTTCTAGATCCTTTTCCTTTCTTAAAATTGTGCTCTGACATGTTCCATTAACGTGGAACAATCTCTAATGCATTCCATACTTCTGGGTCTTCACTTACTATAATAATTTTTTTAGTTCATACAATCAGGCAGAAGGCAGTCTTTGGCTCAAGCATCTGAGTACCCACAAACAGAAAGGGGGTTTGGTTGCATATATCCAGGAGAGTGTGTGTGGGGAAACATAGAGTTGTAGGAATTATTTGTACAGATCAAACATTTTCTCTCTAAAACTAATAATGTGAAGAAATTTAGGTCTGTGAAGTGATTGTTACTATTGAGATTCTGTTCATTATAATTCAAATGTGTATTGATGTTTCAATTTCAGTGCAATTCTCCAATAATTGAATGGAATTTAAATTTTTAAAAAATCAGATCACTGTATCTGACTAGTAATCACTGGGAAAGAGGAGTGTTCAAATATTTCAGATAGCATCGGATAGATCTTGTGGTTTGCATACATTCCTGTGCAATTACAAACATGGTCTAATCCCAGCAAAGAACATCTTGGATTTATAGCTGGATGAGGATAAAATGGATGGGGACTGGCTAGGGGTCAGAGAACATTAATTGGTTTGTTGGAATGGCTTGGAATACACCAAACTGTTGGGTGCATTTTCAGACCAAATTACATGTGATTTACCTGGTATGAATAGACCTGCCTGGGGGAAGTGAAAGCAGCGAGCATGATTTATAAAGATAGAAACATGTCAACAATATTGTTTTATTTATTTTTATTTTTTTCTCTCTCATGTCTTTAATTTTTCTTGTCTTCTTTTTTAGTATTTTTCTGCTTATTACATACAATTACTCTTAAATTGAACAGCTCAGTTGGTATACATTCATGTCTTTAAATTAGGTGTTTAAAATAAATGCCATAATATTGGTACTCCATTCATTCATTCATTCATTCATTTTCAATGTGTATGGCTACTCATCTCAAATTCATGACTCTAGCTAGGGTTGTTTTTTTTTACAACCCTGTTATCCCTTTTTATTGGAGTGGAATCAGGGTGACTGAATGGAGGTGAGTGTTTACTGGCCAGATGCTCTTCCTGACACCTACGTGGAGTTCACAGCAGATATTTTCTCTTTGTGCCCTCTCAACCTTCCGAATGGCAGCCTATCATCTTCACCTCTAGACCACCACACCCCTCTAGATGGCTAACAACCATTAAAGACGGTATATAAAAACATGCAACAGCAGCAATAACAACCATACACATATAATCAACAATCAAAGTAGGAACAAAACCAACATCTTCTTCATGGAGGATAATGTTCCAAAGGGCAGGCATCATGACCATAAAGGGTCTTTTCTTTGGCCCTGGCAGATGGCTCTCCCTAATAGACAAGCCCAGGAGTGTGCCTGCCCTGCCAGATCTTGGATAGGTAATCGGGGACAGGCAATAACTCAAAGCATCACTGCCTGCATCTTGAATTGGTAACTATACAGGCAACCAATGCATTGAAGTAGTCCATGTTAGCAGACATGGGCACTTGGCAGCTGGCATGTATTTACAAGTGGTTGCAGCATCCTGGGATCATGTGATCACCATTTGCAACCATCTCAATCAGATTCGGACAAGCGAAGCCAGATTCACTTAATAACTATATGTTTTACTTAACAACTGCAGTGACTTAACAATCAAAGCAAAAAAAAAAAAAAAGGTCATAAAAATTGGCCATGATTCAGTTAACCACTTTGTTTAACAATGGAAATTTTGTGGTCATAAGCCAACGACTGCCTGTATATCTTCAAGCTCTTTCTAAATACTAGTATCCATGCAAAAAAAAAATTCCTACCTCCATTTGGGTACAAATCTGACTATCTCTACAAAATTCCATGTTTTATGCTGTCCACTTTTGCTTTAAAAAAAACAAACTCAGTTTAAGTCCTTAATTGTTCAGTACAAAAACATTGGATTATCTATTTATTTGGATGAGAATCTAAAGATCTTTTCATAGAGTTTTAATTGGCATGTGCTTACGTCTTACGTTTACATCTAATCCAAAAGTCTTTCTTGACTTAAAAGAAGTCCATAAAGGGTTTGTTTTCCATTTTCTATCCTCATTTCCAGAGACAGTGAGCCTTCAGCCAACAGTGGTAACCTGATGAACCAAACTAACTCATCTGGATTGAGGAAGTGAAAGCAAAATCTCTCTTCATCCTCTTCCACTCCTTCCAGATTTCATCTTCTCCAATATCTCCAGAACTTCATTGAAGGAAAAGGTAACACATGAAAGAGAGTGCCATGATCATAGCTGAAGATCGTTTTCCTAGAAAGAGGTTCCTGTTAAAATCCCTATGTCCCTTTCTGATTATCAACTTTATCTATTGAGATTATCTGAAATATATAGATTGGTTTAAGGATTGGTCTCAGCGGGGCTTGAAGTTTGATTTTCCGAAAGCATAGAATACAGGGAGAATGAGTAGAAAAATATTGAATAGTCCAATATGAAACTATTAATATATTATATTTTAAACAATATCTTTCTGTTTGTACTGGTACATCAAATCTCTCTTGCCCAAATATTTGCGTAGGCTTAAAAAGGCATTGTTAATTAAAATGTAATTGTTACAGGTATGCATTGATAAATGCAAACTATCCCATTTTGACATTCGTTCTTCTGATCTCAAATATGATCTTGACTATTAATTTGGCCAACTGTCAATGGAATACATGAACTGCATAGTTGGAGCCATTGTCATAGATGGCAGATCATTACCAGTTTTTATATCTGTTGTAGGAACGTAGTCATCGGTGGGAGCCCTTAAATAGGATGTGAACGAAAACCTTCACCCAGTTATAAGAAGATAATTACAAGTAGCCCTTGATATACAACCACGATTGAGTCCAAAATGTCTGTTGCTAAGCGAGATAGTTTTACCCTGAATTTTACAGAATTTTGCTCCATTTTACGACTTACCTTGCCGCAGTTGTTAAGTGAATCACTGCAGTTGTCCAGTCAGTAACATGGTTGTTAAGTGAATCTGGCTTCCCCACTGATTTTGCTTGTCAGAAAGTTTCGGAAGGGATCACAAGTAAGGATCAGTTGCCAAGCATCTGAATGTTGATCACATGACCATGGGGATGTTACAAAGGTTGTAAGTGTTAAATTTGGTCATAAGTCACTTTTTTCAGTGCCATTGTAACTTTGAACGATCACTAAATGAACTGTGGTATGTCTGGGACTTTCTGTATAGGCAGGTGTATAAATTTACAATATATGGTAAGGGAGTTTGATTATATCTTTTCTGGACCTGCTTTTATTGGAAGCAACTGTTAAAATGCAGAAAGGAGGGCAGGGAAAACCAGTACACTGACCTTGAAACTGATAATTCAGAATTAGGATTCTCTAGTTTTCCTGAGCTTTGTGCACTTCCGATGTATATTTTAGACCTGACATCATTCCAGTCAGGATACATTGCTTTGAGATTGGCCAGTATAAAATGGTAGAGGGAGAAAAGGCCAGCAATGATTCTGAAGATATTAAGTTTGGTATTATGCCAGGTTGACTTATAGAACTTCACAAATGGGAATTTTTCAGGAAGTTTCTCCACGCAGGTTTTAGGTCTCTTAAAAAAGATTTCTTTACAGCTGAGGGAGGGGAAATGTGGGAGCTCCTGAGAGGAAGGATGTCTTAACATTAGATAAAAGTTAGATCTGTTGTAGGCCATTCACCTATTCCACTAGAACTCCACTGCTGTACTTTTTTGACCAGTGTTCTTCATCCAAAAGAGGAAGAGGAGGAAACAGAGAATCATCTTCAAAGATCAAATTTCCGCAGGAAGAAAAATTGCGAATGCAAACTAATATGGATGGCATACCTTCAAGCTCTAAAAGAGAAAATACTTGAAAAACGTTGACTCTGATATGAAGCATGTAGTTCAGAAGTCTCCAAACTTGGCAACTTTAAGACTTGTGGACTTCAACTCTCAGAATTCTCCAGCCAGCTATGCTGGCTGGAGAATTCTGGGAAGTGAAGTCCACAAGTCTTAAAGTTGCCAAGTTTGGAGACCTCTGACTTAGTTGAAGCAGAGGCTTTAAAATATCAGCTTAGGCCCATATCATATAACGACCCAGTTTTCTTAATAAGTCTATAATGGGGGGAAAGGTGGAAAGAAAGAGAAGAGGAGGGCAACCAGTAGCAACATAGTTGGTACAATATTAGAAGGTTTGGGGACAAACCCTGCTCATAATAATAATCAATCAAATAAGGGTGGAAGGCTATCTTCTCTTACATCTTACCTCCTTAGTAACTGAAAATTTTTGCTAATTTCTTCTTTAAGTAATAATATTTTCTTAGCAGGATCTTAATTTATTACTTCTTCTAGAATTATTTAAGACTTATTGCATGATTTAATGTGTATTGATTATGTAGCATTTTTCTCTAGTATCGCTTCTCGTAGAAATTTAATAGACAACGTGTCATCGGCTGAGTCATTGTTTCAGAGATATTTCCTTACCTTAACCAGAGAATAGAACGAACCCTGGCAGGCAAAAAGGCATTAGAAGTGGGAGTGGATTCTGACCTACTTCTGGATTTCCCATAGGTTTTCCCTGGTGGAAAACTGGCAGGAAGCATTGGAAAGAGTGATCATGTGACTGAGTTGAGTGTGGCAGCGCTGAAGCAGTGACAATTTTGCTGAATATTAAACCCACAAAAGTAATAGCATCCAGATTTTTGAATGCATCCTTTAAGTTAGCCCATTTGAGGCTGATTCAAAAATTGTTGCCCTATATTATACTGTTTTGCCCAATTGAAATTCACAAACAGACGAAGAGGCAGGAGAGTTTTAGTAGCGTAACAATAGCAATAGCACCTAGACTTATAGACCATCCCATAATGCTTTACTGCACTCTCTGGGCAGTTTACAACTTGAACATATTCCTCCCAACAACCTGGCTCCTTTTACTGACCTTGGGAGGATAAAAGGATGAGTCAACCTTAATTCCATCAGGATCAAACTCCAGACTGTGGATAGTTTGCCTACAATACTGCATTCTAACTGCTACACCTCCAGGGCTCAATATAAATTTGGGAAAGATTCTTAGAATCTAAAGAGTAGCCCTTCTATGTGCCCTTCTTCTATTTCTGGAAATGTTAAGGGGAAAACAGAAAGACAGATGTATCCCACAATCTGATATTTATTTTATGAACTAAAATGAAGTTCAGAGGAATTTTAAGTCAGCTCCAAACTCCTTCTCTTGTTTTGAAGTTTTCTGTCAGTTCTGAAACTTGGTAACATATGTGCTACATACAAGTAACAATGTGTACCTGAGAAATGAGCTTTAATTTATTTTTACAATATCGAGCCAACCTGTTTTTCAAAACAAGCTGTGTGTCTTTCACAGAATAAAAATACACAACCAGCAACGTATAGAGAGAAAGTCTATTTTCTCTCCCTTTCTACATTTAATTTGATACTCTATATTTAAAAAGAAAAAAAAATCTCCCAAGAAATTTGCCATTCAATGGATTGGGAAAGACAGCAGAGAGGAAGGAAAGAAATATCCATTGAAGATATCAAACGTTACTGTTCCTCCTTTTCCCCCCCAGATATGCTTCTGATGGTTTTACTGTGTAGTTGCTATTTCATGTGTAAACCAACCTTGAGACTGATAACGTGTAATTTAGCAAAAGTCATCTAATGACCATCTGGTTGGGCATTTCATTAAACTGAGGTTGAAATTAAAGTCCATCTACAGACCATCATTATTCTCCTTGTTATTCTTAGCCCAAATAATTATCTGTATGTGTAGAAGTGGTTTTAAGATAGTTCTAAGTATTCTGTTTTCTTTGTCTTGGCAAACTAATTTGATAGAAAACTTATCCAATTGGTTGCATTGTGTTCTGGCAGAACACAACTATAAACATCTATTATCTCCAAACATGTTTTGGCTATCTGAATATATGAAATGTATTACAGATCTTGGAGGCGGGGGGGAGGAGAAACATCTATTAATTCCCCAGTTACTAATTCTTTAATTTCTAGAAGGATGAATAGCTCCACAGGTTTCAAAGAGACAGGACAGCAGGTGAGTTCTGTATTAATTCATTTATTTGTCACTGCAATCAATGGACTCTCAGTGGTTTACAGTAATTAAGAGCCCAAACAAGCAATTCTAATTAAAGCATTCACTCTAAACAAACCCCATAAATCATTATAAATAGCATCAATGGGTCATAGGCATCTCATCGCTCTCCAAAAGTCCTTAAAAATGTTTTTTAATGATTTCTGGAATGCTAGTAATGTAGGGGCCAGCCTGTTTTCTAAAGGGAGGCAATTCTTTAGTATAGGGCCCACAGCTGACAAGCAACACCTACAAGCTTGGGAAGGCACCAGCCTTTTTACCTTAGATAGTTTGGTTGAGTAGATGAATTTTGTTTGGACAAAGTGGCTGTACAAAATACTTGAGTTCCAAACCATATAGAACTTTAATGACAATAACCAGCACTTCGCCTTTCACCTAGAAGCTAATAGGAAGCCAATGCAAAGCTCTGAGCAATGGCTGGGCACCTGGAGCTTCTAGATGATCTTCAATGGCAATCCAAATATGATGCATTGAAATAATCCAATCATGTACTGGTAAGGGCACAAATCATTATTGCAAATTCCTCCTGCTGAACGGAGGACCATAATCAATGCACTAACTGATGTGTGATCCTGACCCTGATCTCCATCTACTCGTAAAGCAATAGTTGGGAGTCCAAACGGACCTCCAAGTCACAGACCTACTTTAGCAGAAGCAGTGCCTACTACAACAACTAGAACAACTCAATGTACAATCACTAAGTCCATCTTGATGAGATTAAACTCAACTGGCTTCCTTCCATCCAGTTCGTATTAGACTACAGACACTGGGATAAAACAAGTCATTATAGTAGCCATGGGTGTTCTAAAATTTCTTAAACTAGTCTAAAGTTCCTAAAGAGCCATGGTGACAAAGTGGTTAGATTGCAGTACTGTAGGCTAACTCTGCCAACTGCCAGCAGTTCAATCCTCACCGGTTCAAGGTTGACTCAGCCTTCCATCCTTCCAAGGTCGGTAAAATGAGGACACAGATTGTTGGGGGCAAATGTTGACTCTGTAAATCACTTAGAGAGGGCTGTAAAGCACTGTGAAGCAGTATATAAGTCTAAGTGCTATTGCTATTGCTAAATATATCTAACAGAGACAACATGCAGGTAGTACTTGACTTACAACTATTCATTTAGTGACTGTTC